AGTTTGGACCAACAGCGCGAGCCGATCTTAATTAAGCATCACTGTTACTACACAGCGAAAATAGAAAGAAAAATTTGAATTCTCCACTGAACTGAAGTAATAACATCGCTGCGAGATCTTGTGAGAAACATTCACATTTCTCCGTTGTTAACGGATCAAACCGCGCTGACGTGGAAACCAGGAAGAAACATTGTAGGCTACCATGAATGAACTACGTATAGACGAATCCGACGAGCGTTCTTGTGTAGGCTGCCATCTTGTGGCGACGCCATTACTGAGCTGTTACACCGGCATAGACATATGCACCGGTATGTAAACAAACCTCGGAGATAAGGTGATAACGCACCCTTGATGACGGCTACAGCCAGGCAGACTTGTTGGGTTGATGATGTTAGACATTGGCCTCCAGTCACAGATGAAGGTACAAACGATCTTACAGATTATTTATGAAAATAGCTTGGCAAGCAAGCTAGGCTAACGTTTGCTACCGAGGAAACTAAAAAAAGATCTGTCCATTTGGCAACAATAAATAAATAAATAAATGAAATCAAATAAACAATTTCATGTTTTTCATTTGTGTCCATTATTTATCTCATTTTTACATTGCAACGGGCATGGGTAAGGTAACGTTACAGCTAGAAAGTATAACTTGCATAATATCGACCAACTACTGTTTTTAAACCATGGAAAGAGGTCAATATAACAGCAGGAGAACAATTATGTCACATAACGTTACATTCAGCTCAGGAAAGCCATTTAATGACCATAGCATGTAAATTGAATAGAAAAAATAACAAGAGAGGAGATTTTGCTGATCACTATATCACACATTTATTATATTTTTTTACTTATGTCATGAAATAATTGTTATTATACGCGAATGTCCGCGTCTTGTACTCGCCCAGGAAATCTGTGTAAACCGTACGGCACCAGACAGGGGCAGTCCACCCGGGGTATTCACAATGTTTTCTCTTCAAAATTGAAATTTTACTGCCACCATTAAAACAATTTATAACGGAAACTGTTTACCCACTCGACATTATACAAGGGCTAACGTTGTAACGTTAGTGACAGTCGTAAATCGCGAGCTGTTTATTCCAGTGGACGCAAGTTGCAACTAAAACAATAGAAGGCAATGGCGCAAAGCTACCCAGCAACAGCTCAGTAATGGCGCCCGCTTACTTCCGGTAGTTTCGCCGGATTCGTCTATACAGTGTCCACAGATCATCAACATTCACCATGGAGTTACTGTATAACCAACCACTGTAAGTTTGGCAGGTATAATCCTTTCAAGTAACATCACAGTTTTATTTTGACATTATGAATACAGTTGCTGCCCTCAAATGTTAATCTGAACTAATAAACCTTTGTTTATAACTACTAACGTTACAATATTACATTTCATTTTGTCCAAGCCAATAAGGAGCTGTTTTGTTTTATATGCTCCTAAGAAAAGTCAAGTAGCTCAATCATTGCTCAAAGTAAAAAAAAAATATCATAATTTATGATGTTATTTTTAACAAAAATATAATTAAATTAAATCAAGGAAATTTCTCAGGCATTTCTTTCTTTTTGCTGTATCGGAAACGTACCGAACCGTGACACAAGTGTATCGTATCAACCGAACCGTGAATTTTGTGAATCGTTACACCCCTAATGCTGACTGATGTAAATGATAAATACATGATCCTTCAAGTATAATTTACTTTTACTGGAGTAACATTTTGGCACAGGTTTCAACAATGCACTTTAACTTTACTTGATTTACACATGGTCCCTTTAACATATTCAGTTGACTATAAGTAACGTTGCACCTACATCTCAACTAACTCTCATTAGAGTGTTAGTAGAGTATTAGTAGACTGCTAGGGTTAGGGAAAGAATAAGTTGACATGTAGTTGCAAAGTTACTTATAGTCAACAGAATGTTCAAAAGGGACCATCAAAATAAAGTGTTACCCACACTTCTTCTACCATGTTTGAGCGCAGTGGATCAGGGTTTTATACTGTAGACTTTTCAATCCACAAGACAAATGGAACCGAAGAGAGGCTGGTTGAGTAATTTCCCTTTTCAATTCATGTGGATTAACTGAGCTACAGCAAGGCTTGTGTTGGATCATAGTCTAATGAGGAGAAATGACTGACAGAGTGCCTTAATTCAGACATACGTATGGGGAAATGTGCTCTAGAGTGTGTAATGAACTTGCATCACTACCTAAGATGTAAATGACTGTTACTTTGATTTATTATTGAAATCTGAAATTAAAAAATAGAGTTCCAGACAGAAGCAGAAGTAACAGTCAGACTGAAAATTACAGTTTTCCCATTCTGGCACTAATTTTGCTAGTCACACTCAGTATTGCTAGAAAAGTCAAATTTGTTCATTCTGAAAGGCTCAGCTGCTTAATTATAAGATAAATTCAGCACCTGACATTGCCATTTTAATCTTTTTGATGTGAAATGCTAGATAAAGACTTACAGATGGCATGTTGTTTGCAAAAGTAAATAATTTGTTCTATTTATATTTAAAATAATTTGAAACAATTTCAAATATTTATTTATCCATAATCATTTAATAGTTTAGATTAAATGATTTAGATTATCCTTTCACAAGGCAAAAGAAATAAGTAAAATAAAACTCCCATTGAAAAAGCACTAGGAGAAGATTGGAAGCTCAAATTCCTTGAAGCCATTGATTCAGTTGTAAAATGGATTTAGACGAGCACAAATCTAATTAGCCAATTAGTTAGCCAGCCAGCACATCCACAGTGACGTTTAGCCTAATGAATCCGACACACTGCGTTGTTTGCCGCAGTTCCCTCAGATCTCTGAAAGTAATCGTGTGTCCCAACGTGAGCTTTCAGCACCTTAGAAGCCATTCACACACAAAATACAGGAGAATTACGGCGCATGTGATCATATAGCCATTGTTGCATCATTTCAAAATCAGTGCCAATGACACAAATGTTGACGTCAGGATGCATTACTTGCAATGCTGAGGGTATTCTGCCTTGTTCAATTTCACCCCTGGGAACAAATACAATGAAGCTTGTATAATTGAGGAGTGAATTAATACTGCATCACAAACTCCTCGTTATACATTATAAGCTCCGATCTCTCTTTTATACCCCATGGATCTAGCTTCGATAGCCACAAATCATTAATTTAAAAAGCCACTTTATTTCTGTCTGTTCCTTTAAGCAATAATCTAGTCTAGTTTGTGTATGTGTATTTGTTATAATTAGTCAGTCAATTTTTTTTGTTAGTCTTTTTTTTTTTTTACAAAGCAGGTACATAACATTTTGTTTAATATGTTCATCAAAAGAACAAAACGGATAAAACAACAGGCCTTTATAAAGTAAAACATTGGATGGGATATTATTTCACAAAAGGAGACAGAGTAATAACTATAAGTATTTCAGTAGGCCTAATAACCATCTAATCTATTTGAAGCCAAATATATAAAAAAGGTCTTACATATCATGACCCCTATACTTATTTATTATAATTATTATTAATTAATGTATTATTCTATTCGATTATTTCACATTGCTTGATTTAAATCCAACAAAAATATTTGAGTGTAATGTACAGTGATTACATATTTTATGGTACTTATACATTTTGAACCCTACATATTATTCCCAAAGTAAAAACCTGAACGTAGAAGACAAGTAAAAGGACAATATTACTGATGTATTTAATTACATGTATTTAACTGTTTTTTGTTGTTGTTGTTTGTTGGTTTGTTTGTTTTTTTACATTAAAATATCTTAGATTATTGTAACCACAGACCGAATTTTTAGGCAACTCATAAAAAAACTATTGACTTCAGTATAATAGAACCGGAAGCGTTAAAATGATAACTAGCTTCTGGGATTTGGCATACAAAAATACAACATCCCTGCTGCACTCAAGTCTGAGGCCTTCACTACTCTCAGAAATAATGTAGACCTATTTAGTATGTACCGTAAGCAGTGTGTTCATGAATATTGTGTAGGCCTCAGTGAAATGAACACCATAACTTTTGGATGCCTGATTGAGCCAAAACATCTTTGATCTCTAAATATTACATGCAGGTAAGGTCTGTTTGGAGACAGAAAACATATAAAAGTAGGCCTTACTATCCCTTACAGAGACACTATGAGGAACAGTGTCGGTGTGCACGATCAATAAGTTATGACAACATATGTTTTTACATTGCTTTAACTCATCAAAAAAAGTAACTTTTTTTGTTCAATTTTTAAAGTCAGTTTAATGTAATTCTGGTTGAAATGACTTACATATTCAAGTTGATTGTACTTAAGGCAGCAACTTTTTTTTTTTTTTTTGAAAACTACAAGTATACTATCAGGTAAAAGTATAGTTGCTGTTAAAAAGGGCATGCAGGGATTCCCTTTGCAATTTGGCCACAGATTTATAAGCTGCTTTCTCCCTATTTATCCTACACTTAGAAAATAGGTTCAAAATAAGTAGCCTTACTTGTTATGGTATTGACCAGTGACAGTTCTGTACCTTTTTCTTCTGAGAGTATATGGTAAAAAGTCTCCCTCTGCTGGTTGAAAAATGTGCACATCCTCATCCATAGAAACCATTTAGTGAAAAATAAAAAGTGTGGTTTTTACTGTTTTTAATCTGAGCTGTTAATAATGTGAATTAGTAGATGTTACTGCTCATTAATCCATTCATAAATATAAAATAGTCAAAACTTTAACTTTGACCTTTTAACCATGCCACTATCACACTACGTTAACTGACGAGGCCCAAAGTGAAGGAAATGAAGTTGGAATAAAGTTATTTTTGTTTGTTTTTGCGCACAAAAAGTATTCTTGTCACTTGATAAACTTAAGATGTTAACGATTTTAATGATGTCTTTAACAACTTTTCCCGGCTGGCAAGTTTTAATCCCTCAAGAAGCCTATGGACTAGTATGGAGGAGTGATCCAGCTCTCAGATTTCATCAAAAATATCTTAATTCGTGTTCCGAAGATGAATGAAGGTCTTATGGGGTTGGAACAACATGAGGGTGAGTAAATACTGACAGAATTTTCTTTTTTGGGTGAACTATTTTCCTTTTCAGGAAAGAAGATAGAGTGTAAATGGTATATTTATGAAGTTCCAGACGCTATTATGTTCAATGTCCTGCAGAGGATTTCTGTTTTATTAGTTCCTAGCGCTATAGAGCTTAGAGTTTAGATCTCTATTTTTATCTGTTCATTACTTTCTATGTTCAGTCTACTGCATTACTGTAATGTGGAGGCTCTAGGTGGCATCTAATGTCTATAAAGACAGGTTAATAACTGAAGAAGCTCTTAAAATAAAGGCCCAGAACTGTGACGGTGTAAATACATACATATTAACAGTTTAGTGATCAGTGGGGTGGGGGGATACATTTTTTGCCATGTGGTGTTATTTTGTTTGCTTAAAATCATTCACATATTCTTACTGTAAAATAAATAAATATTTCTAAATTATGGCAACAGTTGTTTGCATGTTTCTTTTATCGTAATCTATTTTATGGACCTCTTTAAATTAACAAAAATAAAAAATAATAAATTGGTTATAATGGGAAACAATGTTTTTTTTTTTTTTTTTCTGAATCACCTGAAATGGGCTACTGCTTGTCAGTTTGCTGTCAACATTTCTATGATGCTTCTAAATTGTGAATTGAAAGTACTTTGTCATCAGTATTAGTGAAAACTACTGCAAAATAGTTTTGTATTTTCAGCAGATTCTCTTAAGCACTCATTGGGCCTCTCTGATTGGCTGCTGGTTGGACAGCTCTATTGTTCCTCTCCGCTCTCCACCCAGCTCCTGTGCCCTCACAAAAATGCCAATAGCTCATGGAAATCTGCCTGCCTTGGCATAATTGAGCTTCACACTATTCAGTCTTATAATATTTTTTGGGGAAGAAAAAAACAGGTAGGTTTTTCTTTTTCATATTATATGATTGGTTGTTGTTTGGGTTGGGGTTATAAAAGTTGGTTTTAGGCAATTAATTATGTTTTTGTGGACGCAGATGATTTGATGGGGTTTAAATGCTGTAATTTTGTTTGTTAGTTTATCTTTATTTACAGCAGACCAGAAAAAACTATTTGGGTATCATTTTTGGCATCATTCATTCATGGACAAATGAAACCAAAATGACTTTGAAATTATTTTATTCAGAATATATTTAAATTACAGCAAAGATTATTTTTTAAATTACTTGTAATTTAAGCTCTGCTATTTTTGATGGATTATTGTTATTGTTCACTAAAAAAAAATGTTCATTCAAAGGAAATAAAGTGTGTACATATATATTGTTAATTTTATTTAATGTTAGTTACTAAAGATCTAGCTGTTCATTGTTTGTTCATGATAGTTCACAGTGCATTAACTAATGTTAACAAAGGCAACTTTTTATTTTAATCATGTATTAGTAAATGTTGAAATTCAAATTAACAAATAGTAACAAATAGTGTAGAAATGCAGTTCATTAGTTCATGTTAACTAATGTTACCAATGGAACCTTATTTTAAGGTGTTACCAGCATACCAATACAAGATCATTCGAAATATTATCAATAGGCCTACTGTACCCTGTAAAACAAATATTTTCAAGATTTGTTATCACAACATTTTTTTCTTTTGTCAAATCAACTTAAATAATTTATTTAGTTCAGATAACTTATTATTTTGAGTTTGTGATGATTAAATCAATCTCCTTCATTGTAGTTCAATCAACTTTTTTAATCAAATTTTTAGGCAACCAGGTCACTTACTTTTTTAAGTTAAACCAACAATATTTTTTTACAGTGTAGTATATAAATAGTTAATAAATCCATGACTGATCAATCTTGTGTTTAAAAATACATCACATTGATGAATTTAATTTTACCATTGACTCTTTTCTTTCTTTGTCAGTGTGTTTGTAGGAGCAAGATGTACAGCTTTATGGGAGGTGGGTTGTTTTGTGCAGGAGTAGGGAACATACTCCTGGTGATCTCCACCGCCACCGACTACTGGATGCAGTACCGCCAGTCCAGCAGTTACATGCATCAGGGTCTGTGGCGCTACTGTGTGCCTGGAAAATGTATGATGCACACAGACAGCATCGGTGAGATTATCACATAATGGACTAAAAATCTATTCATTATAGTTGTACAAGCCAAGGTAGGCCTACTTATGTACTGACTAGTCTCTGGTTGATTTTGGAACAGCATACTGGGATGCGACCCGGGCCTTCATGATCCTGGCTATCCTAGCTTGCTTCTTTGGCATCATCATCGGTGTCATGGCTTTCATCAATTACTCCCCCTTTAGCGGCTTTGACAAAACGTTTTCTGCAGGAATTCTCTATTTCATCTCATGTAAGAATGTTTTATTTATTCCTAAAATGTATCTGAAATCAGTTTATTTGCGAACCTGAATTGGATTTTGTGGCTGTACCTTCCAGGCTTCTTTGTTCTGCTGGCCATGGCTGTCTACACTGGCATGACAGTCAACTACTATGGAAAACGATATGGGAACTGGCGGTTCTCTTGGTCCTACATAATGGGTTGGGTTTCTGTGGTGCTCACATTCTTTTCAGGTACACCGGACAAAGCGTGTGATTAACATAGTTACAGTTTTATTAAGAGCATTTTACAACAGAAAAATGTGTATTTAAAATAGTGCATTATAAGTGCAATTTAAAACAGACGTTCATTAGGCGTCCCATTATAGACGTCTAGAGTTTGTTTTTACAAAAACGGTTTTGAGAATGAGTCAACAATATTTTCTGTGGTTAGTTCATTGACAGATTGAAGTTACAACTAATGGTGATTTGCCACGATTCGATTGATATAAAGGTTAATACAACTTTACACTCACTTCTTCTGGAGGTGCAGCAGGAACACAAATAGTTGGTACCGAATCTTTTTTCAGGAGCAACTTCTTAGCAAAACCAGCTTTATACTGACCCTTGTTTATGAAGCAGTCTGGTGAGAAATCATTTGCGCAAATATGAACACATTGACGTTGATCGCAGGGAATATTCCCTTCAAAAACAAAACTCAGCCACTGCGTCTTCAGCGGTTCGAACAGCTGAGCTCTCTCAGGGCGAGGATGTGTTGAAACGCTACTGTCAATCAACCATCGTGGGAGGGGCGTCCATTTTATTGACATCACAAAAACAAACGACTCAATTTGAGGCAGGGGAAAACATATAAGGAGATTAAAACATGGATTTTTATCATTATATGATGGTTGTGTGCAGGCACTCCCAACACACATTTCAGTACAATCAACTTGTAAAAGTGCATGTACCATTATATGACCTCTTTAAGGATTATTGTTGCTTATTATTCCCGGTCTTTCTCTGCAGGGATCTTCTATATGTGTGCCTACCGGATGCAAGAGCCAAGAGGCCCAATGTCACGCTGAGGCTTCTCATCCTAGATCTGCTATTCGAACCCTTCAGTCTGAATGTGAACTATCATGTCATCCCTGATCCCAATCCTTTTAGACCTGTCATTTATTGTTTATTTTAAAATCGCAGAACACACACTAATAAATGACTAATACAATTGTTCTGGTCATTTCATGTTTATACATAATCTAATTTCCAATAGATACAATGGCCAGTTTAGGTTGGTATTAAAATATGACTTTATAAATATATAGGTTTGGAAAAGAAAGGAATAAAAGAATATTGTAGACTCAAAAGGCTTTTTATGGTGAAATGTAGATCATTAATTGAAGTCGAATTTCTTTTATAATTTAATTCAAAAGTTATTTTGAACTGCACTATTCAAACATTGGTAAGATTTTTTTCTCACCAAGGCTGCATTTACCGGTATTTGATCAAAAATACATTAAAAAACAGTACTATTGTGAAACTTGACAATAGTCTTTACTGGCATTCTTGATCAATTTAATGCACCCTTGCTGAATAAAAGTACTACATTTAAAAAAAAATCTTTTCAACAGTAGTTTTTTATCAGTTTAAAGTTGGCATAATTTTGTGTAAAGTCTTTAAGGAAGAACTGAAAACACACCATTTAGACTTTTATGAACAGCAAGTCCTTTATTGTCAGAAGTGTTAGACACAACAGGATGTGTGATGCAGCAGCATTTTTAACACATGAACAAAAACATGCTGCTCGAAACAGCTACAAATAAAACTGGTTCTAAATGCGCACGAGTTACACAAAAACTCACAGCTGGTCCAAATTAAAGCCGAGATGTTTCACATCAACAGCAACAAAGAAAACTGATAATAAATGCTCACGAATTACACATCAACGCACAACCGGACGAAAATTAAAGCTTTGAGATGTTTACATCACAGGAACATGCAAAAGAAAAGAAAATGGCTTATTAAAGTGCTCTGAAACACAGTAAGTTGCTCCACAAAGTTAAATCATTTCTTAGAATGATTTAATCAACTTCCTCAATGGTCGGTCCAGAGGATCCACCTCCACTAGGGGCACCTCCAGCTCCTGGGAAGCCTCCAGGCATGCCCTCTGGCATCCCACCAGGCATCCCACCAGCGCTCTGGTACAGCTTTGTGATGATGGGGTTGCACACCTTCTCTAGCTCCTTCTGCTGATGCTCAAACTCCTCCTTCTCAGCGGTCTGTACAGAAATGACAAGATAAAGTAAGTACCACGCATGCATAAAGACCTCAGAGACAAAAGTTGAGGACCATACCTGGTTTTTGTCCAGCCAGCTTATGACCTCATTGCACTTGTCGAGGATCTTCTGCTTGTCCTCTTCACTAATCTTGCCTGCGAGTTTCTCATCTTCAACGGTGGATTTCATGTTGAAGGCGTAGGACTCTAGGCCATTCTTAGCAGAAACCTTTTCTCTTTGAACATCATCCTCAGACTTGTACTTCTCAGCTTCCTGCACCATGCGCTCAATGTCCTCCTTGCTTAGACGTCCTAGAAGAGTTTGATTAGGACCACTGATTAGTTTTCAAATAATAAATAGTAGTAAAGGTATGTTCACATGTACCATTTCACGAAAGAAATCCAGTCATTCCAATAAAAAAAGTTCCCCTCACAGATTTAACTCATTTTCAAGCCTCAACCAACAGAAAGCTGGTAGATGTTCGAGTGAATTCTGTGTGAGCAGTGCTTCATACATCTCTACACAACTGAAAATAGATCAGGACTGCCCTCAACTAGTAGTCATTCATTTAAGAGATTAGTCGACTAATCGCAAGTTTTTGCCTATATATAACACATAGCAAATTTCTTATTATTGTGAGTTTACGCAAATAAAAGTGGACCCTTTACAGTTACTCTTATCGGTATGACCAAAAATTACAGTATTTTAAGTTGTTTACGCTATTATCAGAATAAAATGCAAGGAGTCGGAGCCCCCATGTCGTGCTGTAAGCGCGAAATACTTAAGCTTCCACACTCTCCATGAACACTGGGATGTGTGCATAATAATAGCACACATTTAGGTTAACATTAGAGCGAGCGACCATGTAAATTTGCTACTGACGTTTCAAATGATAAGTCATATTTGAGGTTGGCGTATGATAGGCAAACGTTTGGATTTCCTAATGACCTCTGGACTGCATGACATAGGCAGTTTTGTTTTTTCTGCGACTAACCAACTAATACAATTTTTAGTCAACTAAGCCTCTAGTCGACTAACGATTAGTCGAATATGAGGGAGCAGCCACAGAAGACCTTTTGCTGCAATTCCACTAATGTGACTACACATTAAGAGACACTCAGGAAGTCAAGAGTTATGCTACCTTTGTCATTTGTGATGGTGATCTTGTTCTCCTTGCCGGTGCTCTTGTCTACAGCGGAGACATTCATGATGCCATTGGCATCAATATCAAAGGTTACTTCAATCTGGGGGACGCCACGTGGAGCAGGAGGGATGCCTGTCAGCTCGAACTTTCCAAGCAAGTTATTGTCCTTAGTCATAGCTCTCTCACCCTCGTACACCTAGAAGAATTCAATTAAACATGAAACTTTGCTAGACTCTATGGACAAAATCAATGGACATCAGGTGTTGCTTACCTGAATGAGAACACCAGGCTGATTGTCAGAGTAGGTGGTGAACGTCTGTGTTTGTTTGGTTGGGATGGTAGTGTTACGTTTGATCAGGATGGTCATAACGCCACCAGCAGTCTCAATTCCCAAGGACAGAGGGGTAACGTCCAGGAGTAACAGGTCTTGGACATTCTCAGACTTGTCTCCAGACAAAATGGCTGCCTGGACAGCTGTAAAAGAGGAAATATGTCTATAATTTAAAAGACATTCATGAAAGATTAGGACATTAAGAATGATGTCCATTTTGATTACCTGCTCCATATGCGACAGCCTCATCCGGATTGATGCTCTTGTTCAGTTCCTTTCCATTGAAGAAATCCTGCAGGAGCTTTTGGATCTTTGGGATACGGGTGGACCCTCCGACAAGGACAATCTCATGAACCTGTGACTTGTCCATTTTAGCATCACGAAGGGATTTCTCTACCGGATCCAACGTGCCACGGAAGAGATCGGCATTGAGCTCTTCGAAACGAGCCCTGGTGATGGAAGTGTAGAAGTCGATTCCCTCATAAAGAGAGTCGATCTCAATACTGGCCTGAGTGCTGGAGGACAAAGTACGTTTCGCCCTCTCGCATGCTGTGCGCAGCCGACGTACAGCCCTTTTGTTGTCGCTGATGTCTTTTTTGTACTTGCGCTTGAACTCAGAGATGAAATGGTTGACCATGCGATTGTCGAAGTCTTCTCCCCCAAGGTGAGTGTCTCCGGCTGTAGACTTGACCTCAAAGATGCCATCCTCAATGGTAAGAATGGACACATCGAAAGTGCCACCACCAAGATCGAAGATCAAGACATTTCTCTCAGAACCAACCTGGTATAGGAAAAAATCAGTTTTATTAAAAAATTACTGCCTTTAAGGGCACCTAATATGCTTTTTTGATCCGACCTTTCCTTTAGTGTAAAATAGCTATTTGTGCATGTAAACAATTTGTACAGTAACAAAGAACAAAGACAAAATTTTATGTGGTCGCATATTATGTGCAAGTAGACGCTCGCGCAACAGAACGCTGTTGTATCAGCTGTTGCAGTCTGTAACTTATGTTCAAAATGAAAGAGTAGGCTACATCATGAATCCATTTTCCAAACCGTATTTTTGACTTATCCTGAATCACTACGGTATGCCTATAATAAGCGGTTATATTTAGACTATTTTATCCCGGGGTCGACGTAAGGAGTGTGAGGTTTCTGATTTTTGTTACAACTATAAACTTTGATAATGAAAAATCTGTATTAGCTTATTTCTAATCTTTTAAAGTGTAATGCATACATTTGAATGTTTAACGATTTTTAAAAGATAGATAGATAGATAGATTGATAGATAGATAGACAGACAAAATATTATGATTCAAATGTAAATAGATAGATTGTATATAATTCAAATGTAAAATGCTTAAAATTACAGATTAAAATTACTGTCCAAAATCCATGAAAATCCTGAAATTAGGCAATGATAATTAATATATTACAGGTATTTATGCTGCAACCCAGAAAGTCTTTGTTAGCTTTGGTCCATTAAAACACTATTCATCAGCATGCATTGTTTAATCCCATGACCTCAGGAGTTGAATCCCAATTATGGTAAGGGGAGTTACATTTCTGACCATCAGTTGACCAATCAGAGTAGACAGTGTGTTTCAGAAGATGGGCTTTAAAGAAACAGGAACTAAAACACCAACAGGCTGATGGTGACAAGAGGTGGTGCAGCAATGTACAGTACGTAAAAGATGTTTTGTTTTATTAAATCATGTAAATGTATTCTTGAAGATACCTAAAAATAAAGTGATGAACTTTTAAATAAGCATAATATGCACACTTTAATATTGCTGAATTGTAAAAGTAACAATCTTACTTTCTTGTCCAGGCCATAGGCAATGGCAGCAGCAGTCGGTTCATTGATAATTCGTAGAACATTGAGACCAGAGATAGTCCCAGCATCCTTTGTGGCCTGGCGCTGAGAGTCATTGAAGTAAGCAGGTACCGTAACAACAGCATTCGTAATGGTCTGCAAAAACAGATTCATACTTTTCGTGAAATGTAACATTGTACAAAGTTTTGATCCACTAAATCAGAAGGCACTTTTCTCTTCAAATGTTTCAGATGTGTTTTTCAAACAGGCCTTCATTCTCTAATATAGTGCCACGAGTCAATTCGACAGGTTGAATATGTCATTGTCAACCTCTTTAGACCCATCACAGCAACATTCTCAAAACCATTATTGCAAACACAGGTGTTTGCATAAAATGATGCTCTCTTTGTTTTCAGTATGGGGAGTATGAGGGCAAGGTATTTGACAGAAACCTACTTTTCCCAGGTATGCCTCTGCAATTTCCTTCATCTTTGTAAGCACCATGGAAGAAATCTCCTCTGGGTAAAAGGCCTTGGTCTCCCCTTTGTATTCAACTTGAACTTTGGGGCGTGTGTTGTCATTTATAACAGTGAATGGCCAATGCTTCATGTCTGACTGTACAACAGTGTCATCAAACCTCCGTCCAATAAGCCTTTTTGCATCTAGAGAAACAAATATGGCAACAATCTCAGCAACTACATTGTACTGTTATAATGTACAATATTAATATGACAAATTGATACTCATTTTGAGATGTGTTTACGATTTCATTTACCAGTGTTTTTTCAACATTTTGAGTGTGTTTAAAGTTACATGTAAACTGTAAAATTCCAGGAAAATGCACCATTTAGGAACCAAAATTAGTCAATACAGGTCAATTTAAAAAACAATCTTAAATGTATAGCATGCATAAAATCACTTACCAAAGACTGTATTGGTGGGGTTCATTGCTACTTGATTTTTGGCAGCATCTCCAATCAGCCTCTCAGAGTCTGTGAATGCTACATAACTTGGTGTGGTCCTGTTGCCCTGGTCATTGGCAATGATTTCAACTTTGCCATGTTGAAAGACCCCCACACAGGAGTAGGTAGTCCCTAGGTCAATCCCAACTGCTGGTCCCTTTGACATGGTTTCTGCTGGCAGCAAACAGGCATTATGTCAACGGTTAATAATATTTATAATGAAACATATTTTAGGCATTTAACCCAAGCCTTCCAATTAAGGGATAGGTTTTGTTCATAACCTATTCATGGCTCAAATATATTTTACGTTGTGACTGTTCACTCAAAAGCTTTTCTGACTCACACAAGACACAGGATACTGTGGCCTGTTGCATGAACCATAGAGCAGATCAGCTGTCACTGTGTTAAAGGATGCGACGTCAAACTCAAACAGAGCTGAGGAAAGCACTTCACAACAGCTTGATCATTCATTCTGTTTCATACTGGTGCGATTTTCGCTTTACAAACGTTTAAATTACATTGTGATTGACAAATTTTTTTCTTCTTATATTGTACACTAAATTTGTCAGACAGAATAACAGCCTCAGAACCATTTACTTTCATCTCCCTTTGAGAAAATGACCATTTTCATTTTGAGCAACTTGAATAACTAACTTACACCCATAGGACTACACCTGAGGGAAAGTCGAATGCTCCGTTTCCTCGTTTGCGCAACATTAGTGATTTCAGTGAGCATTGAGCTTTCGGATTTGGAAGAAAATGGGAGTGTTTTCTGGAATCATCTAGCACGCGCGCACGTAACGTTACTCAATACTGCAAGGACGTTCAAATGTCATGAATTATTACAGCTCTCTAGATAATGTTACACATTCCACGCTATCGATGGTTAAGTATGCAAATCGGGTGCATAAATGAAAAACAATCAAAATAATATGGGCGATTAAAACTGGTGGTCCATTTTGGTATTGTATATCTTGACAATAATTAGCAACTGTAAAATTAGTTTATATATTTTATCATTTCAAACTCTTCTACTATTCATGCATAATAATAATAATCGTGATAATTCTCACCAGATTAAAACGCTGACTCTGTCAATCACTTGCTGTGTCGCAGCTCGAAATGCGCGTGATCTCTCTGCTGCAGAACTGTGCTGATGTGCGGTTACGCGCTTTTAAGACTTCCTGAGAGAACAGTCCAGAACCTGATGGAACGAGCGCTGCAGCCAATCACATCGCACGGTCGCTGAAGCGTTCCGAGATGGAGATTTTGCCTGCGGAATTCTGCCAACCGAAAGTAAATATAATAAAGTATCGACCCATGGAGTTCCAGAACATTCCCATGTGATTCAGAGTAGTTTCGCGCTAATCAGAAATCCAGTTAAAATGGATGGTCAATGCAATGAAAATCTATTGGCCATGGTGAAAGATGAAGAAAACAATATTTTATTTTACTCCAGTGTCGGCTTTGTATAGCATTTCTAAAAACCAGACTACGGTCGCAAGAAAACCCCGTGAGTAAGAAAAGAACACCCTTTATCATAATATCAGTACAACAAACCACTTTTTTAACATAAATTGTCACATTTGAGGACACGAGAGCTTAACGTTACTGGCAGTGGATGGCGCTGTTGGGTCCAACGCTATGGGTTAGTTACCTCTTCAGGTAAGCTCTTTTTCCGAACGGTGCGCAGTATAAATCTAACTTTTGCGGTTTCTGAAACCACATGTATGAAACATTATAATATGTAAATGAGTCTCATTTCGAAGGCTGCGTCCTCCGGAAGTTGCATGTCGGCCGCATCCACCATTCCACAGTCAAAATTACACCAAATTACTCTTCGCTGGGAATAAAGGTGAATTTTATAATGGTTAGCAACTGTTTTGACTGTTCAACGGAGGACGCCGCCTTCGAAATTAACAATAGCCTACATACATTTGAGATACCCAGCCTTTTTGTTTAGGCCTACTGGTGTTTTCTAGCACACACGTGACGTCATGCCCCATTAAATTATGCCAGAAAGAAGGAAGCCCTTCAGTGTCATCACATAGTTTCTTTTTGGATAACCCCAAAAGAATTTTAATGTGCAGTTTGAGCTATTCCCTCTGGAATGGTTTATGTATGCCTTTTAAGAACGAATTACTCCTCCTACTGCATCCTTTCCTAAACCCTCCTACTCCTGTTGGTCAAATCTGTTTTCTGAGTCGAAAGCTGAAAACCTATAAAATAAGATATTTATTTCTTAACTATTTGATTTCTGTTCCACCTGCCACTTTCCTTTTGGAATAATTTGTTTGTTAACGTTTAATTGGAAAAAATAGGGTCATACTGCGTGCAGAAATTCTTTCTCACAAATAAAGTGAACAAAATTTCCTTTTAAGCTCATACATATATCCTGTTAAAAAATGTATGCAAATATTTAAATCTGACAATAAGATAACATGCCCTTTTTGTTTGAATTCTGTTAAAACAGTGGTTCAATTATTTTGGTCATGTCACTACCCTATGGTCACTACACTTGGAATGATATTGGCAAGTGATGATAAAGTGCAAGATTTTTGGATGAGACGTTAGATGAGACTGTCCTTCGGATGAGAAGTTAAACTGAGGCCCTGACTCTGTGTGGTCACAAAAAATCCCAGAATAAATGTATGAATTTTTAAATTTTTAATGAATAAATTTATTTATTCATCTTAATATCGTTTATTATTAATATTTATTTTATTTTATTATTAGGCTATACATTTCTTATTGAGTTGGCAACAGCTGGCCCATATTGCACTGCAGTATCATTGTAAAAGATGCCACATCAACAAGTGTCCACATGGTGGCATATTTGTGTCAAACCATGTCAGTCAGACAGATACCTGACAAGGCCTTTCTAACATCATGTACAGTGCAGTACTCTGTCACAATTGTCAATAGTGTACTGTACACGCTGTTAGTAAGACAACCAGTCCACATACACTGAAAACAATATGTGAAAGAGGAAACTTAAAGTCTTAAGAAAGGGATGCAGGTACTGTGTAGAGGGTGTGATGAGTTCAGCTCAAACAGAAAGTTGGTACTGAAAATCGACACACCCTTGTGCACCAGACAAAGCAAAGCGGTTGATAATTTCAAATCCTCTGGGATGTGATATTTTCAACAAAAAGAGAGGTCAATCAGAAAACAAAGGAATGTTATTTCATAGTTTTATTCACAATAGTTGCTGTACCTGACCTGGATAAAGCTAAAGGGTTAGACAAGCACGCAATCTTGACATGTCATTAACAACAAAATAAAGTTTGATATCACCTCTTTACACTACACTAAAAACTATACACTGAATACTCGCAGGTTAACCAAAACTACTGTATGGAAACCCAATTTCTGGAAATTAATTATAAGTTAAATTTATTTATACATTTATTTTAAAAAAAAAGTGTGATGTACTAATTGTTGAATACCAAAAGTGTCATTTTGTAACTATTTTGGGGAAACTCTTTGAGGATCATTGTTCTGCCTCTACAAGAGGAATTCCCTTTTTTATGTCCTGGAAGAGTCTTTGAAAAGGTGCTTGGTTTCATCAGGAGAATGTCCTGTATGTGTTTGCTGACCTAAGAAAGGAACGGTGCATGGCCAGCTTTTGTTGAAATAAGTGTTTAACTATGTATAGCATTAGTGTCAGTATATTCATAAAGAGAAATTCTATCTCTAAAATACCTTGACCAACACCCTTCTTTAACGCTCTACCTGACCACAAAGTGACTACACCCGTCAAACATTATCTACCACTGTAAAAGTATATTTCATTATGGATTGAGTGGGAAACACATTTAAAAATAGGGATGTTAGTTTTCATATAATACACTTATATTTAATATCAAATAGTTATGTCTAAATACTCTATTTAATTTGTTAATTCAGGATAATTCATAGGAATTTAATTCAACCAAATTCATAGGATAATTCAACCAAAAATTAATTGAAAAAAAATGTGTCATCTACTCTCCCTGAATGTCACCCTGATATTTTGAAGGGGGGAAATTGGGTTATTTTTTACTTTCATATTATGTACACAAAAAAACAAACAAATTAACAAACAAAAAAACGCAAACATTTTCTAAATATCATCTTTTTACACTTAAACGTACCTCGGGTCTTCAGCGACCTGGGACGTCATTCACCCTCCACCTCATTCATTTTTTCATACAGGTTCGTACGTGTTTGAAATGACGTTAAGGGGAGTAAATTAATTTAAAATGTAAATATAAAACTAAGTGAAATTATAACAAATCATTTTAATACAACCCCAAATCCAGAAAATCTGGGACATTTTGTCAACTGTAATAATAATCTATGATTTGTTAATCTTCTTTAACCTTTATTTAACTGACAAAAGTACCAAATAAATTCAATTCCAATGTTTTCACTGGCCAAATGAATTGGATTTTGTATAGATAAACCAATTTTGATGGTTGCTATACACACTCCAGTTTCAGTTGTTGCCCTGAAGTATCTGTTCAGTCAGCAATACTGATGACAAAATTGTTTTGTAAACTTAGTTACCAGATCTGAATTGCTATCAGTGAAAAGATCACTGGAGAGTCTCGTGTTGCTCTCTTCTTTGTCAAGTTTTCTCTCACACCCTTTTCCTCTGTATAAATACTGAATCTGGAAGAAAGGAAGGAGAAGTTCCTCATCAAGAGTTTGTGCATCCAAAAGGTAACATCTATTTTTTTTTCTTTCAAATGTTTTAACAGTGGTGTGAGAAGACTTTTATTTAAAATACTTTATATAGATGAAATGGATTTGCTGCTTTGGTTTGTGTATTTTCTAATGGGTTGTCTTCTTTAGTTTGTCTCAGGATGATCAGGCTGCTCCAGTTATTGTGTCTCGCTGGTGTCCTTCTACAGTGTGAAGGTCAGGCTCAGGGTCTTTCAGCTTGCCTAACGAACCCTACATACAGACTGGCAGGTCAGTGGTTATATTACTCTTTCTGTATATGTACAGTGCCGAAATCTGATTTATGATGATTTGTCTTGTTATCCAATAAATATTATCTAAATGTACATTAAAATTGCATAAAGGTTTAATTGAGAAGCAAAATTGCATAACATAAAGACCATATTTCAGATCACAGAACCTGTCAAAAGTTTAGAAACATTACACGTTTTTTAACTCTCTCATTCTCACCCAGGCTGCTTTTTTTTAATCAAAAATACAGTAAAAACAGTAATATTGTGAAATATTTTTCTATTTGAATACATTTAAAAGTGTCATTTATTCCTGTGAGTCTTCAGTGTCTCATGAAATTGCTTTTTTTATTATTTATATTATCAATATTGAAAATAGTTTTTGCTGCATAACATTTTTGTGGTAATAATGATACCATTCAATCATTTGTGGTAGAGTGAGAAATGAATGCTTTTATTCATTAAGTATGCAAGGATGGTGACGGTGACAGTTAAGTGATGTTACAAAAGATTTCTATTTGATAAATGCTATAATAAATGTAATAAATGCATTTAAGAAATGGAAATAAATCCTGTTCATTGAACATCAAAGAAAAAAAGTATTACCATTTCCAACATTGATAATAATAAGAAGTAATGAGCAGCAAATCAGCATATTAGAGTAATTTCTGAAGGATCATGTGACACTGAACTTCAGTTTTGCCTTTACAGGAATAAATTACATTTTAAAAAATATTCATATAAAAAACAGTTATTTTAATATGATAATAATAATAATTTGCAATCTTACTGTTTTAACTGTATTTTGTTTTATTAAATACATGATGCTATAGTGAGCATAAAAGACTTCTTTCAAAAACATGAAAAATGCTAAATGTTTCCAAGCTTTTGACAGGTATATATATATATATATATATATATATATATATATATAAAAGATAAAAATGTCTTGTTTTAGAAGACTTTTCTTAAAAAAATGATCTTAGGCATTTATACTTCTCAAATACAAGTAACTTGTTTTTAGGATACTTTGATATTTTCACTAGAAAACAAAATGATTTTGTAGAAAATCTTGAGTAATATATACTGTAGATTTTTTACTGTAGACATTTTGAGTAATATATACTGTATATTTTTTAATCTTTCAGAAAATGCTGATATGATGGTGACTTGTGGAACCGATCAGATGTCTTTAAGAGTTTTCCTGTGTCCAATGTATTTTGGGGGATACAACGAATCTCTAATGGCCCTCAATGCTAAGTTTAACATCCCAGCCTGCCGTGGAGTAGCAGACTGGTCTGCCAATCCTCCCGTCTTGATGTTTAACTTCTCGATCTCCCAGGATGCGCTCACCCTTTGTGGCAACAATATGAATGTACAAGCTTTTTCACTTTAAAGCAATCAATTTGTAAACTTTGAATGCCACAGATTTCTAAAATGTATGTGTGTGTGTGTCTGTGTGTGTGTGTGTGTGTGTGTGTGTGTGTGTGTGTGTGTGTGCCTGGCATGTTTGTTGGTTAGATCACAAGTCAAGTGGGCTCAGGATTATTCTCAGAGTTCTCCCAAGTCCAGAACGTTAATATATCTGGATTAATCAATTCCTGGGATCCCAGTGTTAGCGGCATCACTTACAGGCAACAACTGATGTACCAGTTTTCATGTCTGTATCCGCTCCAGTATTTAATCAACAACACCGAGCTCAGCGTGTGAGTATATATTGCAAGGAACTGTCTATGTTGACGTTTCTAACTTTCATGACTAAAGCATGTTTTCATGCCAACAGGTCAGGAGTGAGTCTAGCTGTAAAGGATAACAACGGCACCTTCATCAGCACTCTAAGCATGAGTCTTTTCAGTGTGAGGATCTTTTCATTAAATTACACTTACACTTGAGTTAGTAAATGCGACTTTCTTGACATCCTCCCTTTCTTTCCGACATTAGACTGCCAACTATACTAGCAAACTACAGATTCCAGGAACTGGGCTTATGTTGAAAACTCGCATCTATGTGAAGGTCAAGGCAACAAATCTCACAAACAAGTAAGGATGCAACTCTCCAGTTTTATTTTAGAATTATTTATATACTATTATTGTATTTAGGCTACTTTTTATCCATATTTTTAAATAGCTTTTATTTTTATATTTTCATTTCAAAGTTAATTTTGTTTTGTGATTGTATTTTTTTAACCTCAATCAGTTTTAATAATAGCTAAAAAAAATATATATTAAGTTAAAAAAACTTAAACTTATTCACTTGTTCAATGTTATTCAAAATTTATTTATTTTTTGTTTAAGTTTAAGTGTTTCACCTAAAATGTATATTTGATTTTATTTCAGCTTTTATTTCAATTTACGTTTATATCAATAGTCTTAGTCTTTAGTTGACAATGACAGTAACTCTTGAATGTATGAATCTGAAAATTATCTGAAAAAATGCTGATTATACCTTTATAGATCAATCAAATCTAATTGTCTGTCTTATTGTGTATTTTAAGGTTCAATGTGTTGCTGGACCGTTGCTATGCCACAACAAACCCATATCCAATCAGCAGCACCTCCTATGATCTTTTTGTCGGGTGAGTCATTTATTAAAAAAAGAGAGTGTTTAAGAAGACAAAACACTCTTGTGAGAACCACATCTATTGTTGTGTATAGGTGTACTCGTGATCCCCAGACAGTAATCGACTTGAACGGGATATCCCAAGAAGGTCGGTTCTCTTTTGAGGCTTTCCGCTTTGTGGAACATAAGAACCAGACCACCTCCACTTTCTACCTGCATTGTGTTACCCGACTCTGTGAGAACTCATCTTGCGCCAACTTGCTTCCGGTAATTAATCACTCATTTATGATGCTATAATGTCATTTATTCATTTTCTTATTTTATTGTATTTTTTTATTTAGATTTTGTTTGGTTCCACTTGTGTGTTTATGGTTGTGTGTTTTGTAGAGATGCGTAACGAAGAGAGAAGTAAGACAAGTAAACCCTACAGAGAACCCTTCTAATGATGTAGCCACTGTCACCTCAGGACCAATCACAACCAGAGTTGACAATGGTACAAAGAATCATCCTATATTTACAAATAAACTCCAGAAACAATATAAATAATATATATATATAATAACTAAAGTTACTTTAAATGTTCTCTGTTATTTTTCCAGCAGGTGGCCTTGTGCCCGCTAGATGTAAGAATGCTCTTTACCGACACCTCATTTTAATGAACACAATAAGAACCTTATCTAAATAGTTATATTTCTTAATGATGATGTTTCATTATCATGATGCAATTTGATGTTGATTTTTCCCCCCCCTATGTCTAGTGACCTCATCAGCATCCATCCCTCAACTGACGTATGTTGGCATAGCTACTGGCTTGCTGAGCTTCTTTCTACTTGACTGGTTCTCTACATCAATACTTGCATGATGATCTACATCAGGATTTGGGAACTCCTTGCCTCTTGATTGAACAGTCTTAGAAATTCTCTCAGATGATGCAAACATGTGAGAAAATATATGTCAGTTATCAACACCTCTGTTTTTCAATTTGGTATATAGAATATTGTTTTGTAATTGTGACCTTTTTTGTCCTAAGTTTTATGATCTTCTATGAGAACAAGGAAAAAGAGAAAAGAAAGTTTCAGTCTGTAGTATACAAAATGCCTTTTTAAACTGAAAAGTGAAGTCTATAATGCATGTAATGCTGTTCTTGGGTAAAATATATGCAATATGTATGTAATAATTTTACATTTAAACTTATATAAAACTGTTAGAATCTGCCTTTGTCCCTGGTATTTTCACAGGTCATCATATATGTTTTTTTTATTATGTTAGTTAAATAATATACCGAAAGTCTGGGCAGAAGATATTAAGCTAAATGAAAAATACGCCACACGAGCTGGCTGGCATTATAAAACAGGTACAGTAAATAAAACTCAGTATATAACATTGCATATATATATTGTATTATTTTTTAGTTAGTTTATGATTTATTGTTAAATTGTTAGTCTAATAAAAAATAAATTAGAGGCAGGCACTAGACGCAACAAACAACTCTACTTCACTAAATGTAAACTGAGTGTCTGACAAAGACAGGCCCTCTGGAAAAAAAAACAAAAAAACAGGCACATTCAATGACACAAAACATTCATTTTTACTTTAGTTTTGTTAATTAATGGTTACATTTATATTATGACTTTAGCCTACCTTTTAAACCTAACAGGGAAAATGTTTTTCAAACAAACCTCACATGTCTTTATATAATTCATATGAACAATGCTGATGTATGCTATACTATAGTACTATAATTGTGATTACTATACTAATTTGTAATATTTTGATATGATTTTTTGTTGTTGTAAATCTTACAAAAATTCTCTGTACCAAACCAATTTAGTTCACCAAAAAAAATGAAAAATCTGTTATCATTTACTCACCCCAAACCTGTACGAGTGCTGAACACAAAAGAAGATATTTCGAAGAATTTTTTTTTTTTTTTTTTTTTTTTTTTTTTGTCCACCAGGAGAAAGAAACTCATAAAGGTTTGGAAATATCCTGAGGGTGAGTAAATTGAGTGTTTTTAGGGTGATTACAGAATTTAAATTTTTTGATGAACTATCGTCTTATTACAGGCATCCAAATATTAAATTAACTGCTTCCAATCTTTGAGTTGCCAGATTATTTCCAGATTATTCTTGAAAATAATGGACACATTTTGACTTTCTACATATCTTGATATCAAGTTCAACGAATGTGGGTCAAGAGGGCTTCGATGCAATCTGTGAATTTCAGCACAGAATAACTTTCTCTCCCACGGGTACACATTCTTTGCACTTTCTGAAAGACTGTGGCCGTGGGGAGCTTGATGCAGTCTATCTAGTCCTTTGAGACAGGACACAATGATGAGACAGACACATTCAGACAGCTCTGCTCTTCTCTTCAGTCTCACCAGAGCCTTTGTTTTGTGAGCATGACCCTGTCTCACCTCCTCCTTCGGAGATTTTTTCTCTTTTGCGCCAGATTTCAATAGGGGTGTATTGTATTTGCATACATTGTCAGAATTATATTGTCATGTAATACAAGGCCAATTAAATACTCCCTTATCATGTTTTGATTTTTTCCCTCCATCTAGCGGTGAAAAGGTATATAACCATCCAGTGAATAACTCCTACGGTGGCCAATGTAGTCCAAGATTAACATGGCTTCCAGTTCGACCTCGAGTGTTAACTCAAACATAAACGCGAAAGGCGAAGCTTGAATTAACGGGTATGTCCCTCTTTGGCTAATGTACTTTCAAGATGGAGTGGCAACATGTCGACGACATTAGAACCCCTTACCCGTATGTATTTTATGGCATATAATACACTCACGAAAATACTTTATTACTTAAACGAAGTAAATATACATTAATGAGCACATATATTTTTGAAAGAACTAAGTGTTTTTAGTTAAGAATAAACTAAAAGAGTTACACAGTGTAGCTTTAAACTAGCTGTTCGTTTGAATGGTTGAGGATACGATGTTGTGGTTTGTGTTTTTATAATGTGCATGTACTAATAAATAATATGCCATTATAAGTAAGCATGCATGTGATAAACCGTGCTCTCTTCACTAGGTGGTGCTAGGGATCAGACGTTTCCAATAGTTCCTGACTAAATTGCTTCATGGTAGCCTTTTAGACAGCCATTTATTCTGACTAAATGAATTTTCTTGTGGTGCCATTAGCAAGTCAAACCAGTCATGAATGTGGATTTATAGTTCAGTCGATTATCTTAAAAGCAATTGTGTCCGGAATTGAGCCATGAACAAAGGCAACAGATTTTCATACTGCATGCTTGTAGGGAGTCTCACTTTCTTTGGTAGTCAGATGTAGGGCCAATCCCAATTCTACCCCTTACCCCTTCACTTTCCCCTTCCCCTCCGTTTTGCGCGTCCACGTGAAGGGGTAGGGCTGTCCCAATTCTCTTTTGGTTGGAGGGGGAGGGCTAGGGTGAAGGGCCAGATAGCCCTTCAAACGAAGATTTTTCGGGAGCACACTTCAAACGAAGGGGTATGAGAAGTGTCACTGCTAACCCAGGCTGGCTGCCCAAGCGACAAAGGAGACCCATAAATTTAAGTATTTGTGGCTTTAATAAGTATTATAACGACAAATAATGATTTGCTTTATGTTACATTCAATATTGTGTTCATATTTACGGTCAGTTTCTTCACAGAAACGTTTGTAAAAAAATCGCTAAAATTACTGTAGTTTGCTAACGATAGTCCCGCAACATATTTTCGTCGTCTCCGTTGTTTCCTGCGAACTTCACAAGATGCAAGAAAATAGCTGTAACCCACGCGACTGAGATAACTGCAGCTGTCGACGGCATCTTGGAAGTTGTGATAAACATCGGCGCATCTCCTGTGACGTAGGCGCTAGCGACGACTTATAATGACGTTTAACGGAGGCGTAGTGGTGTCCCATTTCTTAGGGGAATATTTTCACCCCTACGCATTGCCACTCTGTTTCAAGGGTCAAGGGGAAGGCGAAGGGGTAGGGCTAGGGGAAAGGGAAGGGGTAAGGGGTAGAATTGGGATTGGCCCGTAGTTGTGGGTCATCCAGGTATTCCGTGCATTTAAAAGTGATTTACATAGCATATAATTGCAGTTATGGGGCACAATTTGTCACCATATACAAATACATTTGATATAGCAAGAGAAAATATCAACTTCTGCATGGTAAACAGTTTTCTGTTGTTTATGCAATCAGTTTGCTATTTTATAAGGTCTTTTATCAGATGTGTCCAGCATTGCATGTAGTACAGTATATCTACAATGTTAGTACAGGTGTATTTTACAAATAAAGCAGTCACCATCAGAACATTTTGCACATCCTTGGCAAAAAATTCAATTCCAATAATGGGAGACAACATTGTGTAATATACACACATTTTGCATCTTCCTCCTTTCCTGGTTAAACAATTTTTTAGTGTTTTTTTATTATCATATATTTTTTTCTTTTTTTGCCATTGCTTTGAATGTTGGCGTTCTGTTTGTTTGTTTGTTTCAAAATATATAGGTATTCTCATTAACTACATAATTCAACAACTTCTTAAAAAATATAATAAAAAAGATAATATTAGAAAAATTGCCCCAACATCCACCTCTGGATATATGTAAGTGCCATTTTACATTTCTTGAGGTTAAGTTAATTTGGGTCTCTGTTCAGTCATACTGGACACGCATTGAAGTGAAGATGTAAATGAAATCCATCTGAAGAATAACACAATACTACCTGGATAAGAAAAGTGTGTTAATCCCAGGTGTAATGGGGACCAGAATGTCTTTCTTTATGTGACGTAATAATGAAACCTAATCTATTTTACTATAAATTATAACAAAATGCAAGATATTGTATGTGGACTTTGATAATAGTCTCTTTAGTCTCATTTCCATGTGTTTTTGGCTGCTGTTATCATCCTCAGTGGTAGCAAGCCTTCCACCCATTCATTGGGAGATGCCATCATTCTCCTCCATAAAGTGACCTCCTCTGCTGTAGAGTCCATCCAGTCCACCAATACTCCATAACTCCTGCCTGTAAAATGAGATTGACTTATTAAATGCATTTATATTTATGTTAATATGTATTTTATATATGTTTGTAGATCTCAGAACACCCAAAGATCCCAACACTGGACCGCACCTGTGCCCATGCCGAGTCTCAGGCCTCCAAGCGAGTGATTGGCTAGACGCTCCCGGTCCCAAACAGTAAGCTCCACACAAGCCTCTTTTAAGTCCTCCGCCTTGAACCCATCATACACCATTGTGTGATTAAACATGGGGTTGGCTGTTCTCTTCAGAACCCGAGTCTTCTGACGGCTCTTTTTGCTGGTGTCGGGGAGTACAAAGCTGTGCAAAGAATTCAACAATTACTTAATGGGACCTTGAAGATGTTTTTATTTTTATTTTTATTTTTTTAATAAAAAAATCATAATAATATAATACCATTCCACATATGGGTCAATAGTTGGACTTCTGATTAGAGGGAGATTCTTGCATTCTTTGACCCAGATATGCACTTCACCAGAGCCAGGAATGTTCTTTGCTGGATTGAAAAAATAAACACTCACACAGATAAATTGACAAATCTGTGACATTTGACTTTCTTTGTGATATAATGCGCAGTCTTTTGGTATCTAAGCCACATGTATATGAATACATAGTAAACGATTGTAATGGAGAAGCCTTACAGTGGGAGATCTGAGGCAGGAAACGTATGGCCAGTCTCATCTGTCCTCTAAATTCAGATGGCTGGAGGCTGTTTGTGGTCTGTGAGTTGAGATTCTGAAATCAAGAGAGATTTGTATTTTCTTTTATGGATTCAATATTTTAACTTTTAAAAATGTAACACAAGTTTCACCGAAGAGAAATTATGGACACATTTAATACTGTACCCTTGGTTTAAGAGGCAAAAGCTTCATCTCTGTGTCGTTAAAATCCCACGAGGAGAGGTCAAGCTCTATCTCACCTAGAAAGCTGTTACGACCAAATGTGTCATTGTGCCATGCTGAAATGTTGAGAACCTGGGACATCAGGTACTCCATTCGAACTCTGTACTGTATGCATCAAATAATAAAATGATCAGAGATTATTAAAAGAGTAGTTCACTTTTAAAAAACTTTTGCTGATAATTTACTCATCCCCATGTCATCCAAGATATGCATGTCTTTCTTTCTTCAGTCGAAAAGAAATTAAGGTTTTTGATGAAAACATTATATTTTTCTCCATATAATGCACTTTACTGGGCATCAAACGGTTCAAGGCAAACTGTTCAAAGGGCTTTAAACGATTCTAGACAATGAATAAGGGTCTTATGCAAAACGATAGGTCATTAAAAAAAAAAAGTTTTATAAGCTCAAATGGTCGCCTTGCTCTGTTCTGTGATGCGCTTTCGTGACTCTCCTGTTCGAACTCGTTCATCAAAATGAACACATCTTTTTCCGAGTCAAATCGTTCATTTTGTTCATTGAATGAACTAAATAACTCGAAAAAAGATTTTTTTCATTTTAATGAACGAGTTCGAACAGGAGAGTCACGAAAGCGCATCACAGAACAGAGCAAGGCGACCATTTGAGCTTATAAAACTTAAACTTTGTTACTATTTTTTTTTAAATGAGCGATCATTTCTCTTGATAAGATCCTTATTCATCGTCTGGAATTGTTTAAAGCCCTTTGAACAGTTTGCAGTTTGTACTGAAACTGTCTTTTGGACCTTTAACCGTTTGGTGCCCAGTAAAGTGCATTTATATGAAGAAAAATCCTGGAATGTTTTCATCAAAAACCTTAATTTCTTTTCGACTGAAGAAAGAATGACATGGATATCTTGGATGAAATGGGTGTGTGAGTAAGTTATCAGCAAAAGTTATTTTTTTTAAAGTGAACTACTCCATAAGCATTTGGTATGATGCATATAGGGGACACTGGGTCCAGTTGTCACTTATTAATCCAGTGGATATCTCTCATGTTATGGTTATTTTTGAAGTACATTTTTGTATAGACACATATATTAAAGTCTTAAAGCCTAAAATTCCACCGTTAGCACGAAATTGAAAACACACAACAGTGGGACATGTCATTTGTCATGGGACATGTCTATTAAACAGCTTATTATAAATATTTCGGCTCCAAATGAACAGCAAAACAATTATGAAACATTACACAATTCATGAAACAGCAACAATGTGAAATGTGATGTGCATATACAGTATATCTTACTCCATTAAAAATGCAAACACTGGCCCTGACAGAGATTTCCTTACCCTAAGAATCTCATTGTATGTAGGATTCAGTGTTTTCTTTTTCACAGCAGTTTTTCTTTTTCCCAAATTGGCAGAATCAGGTATGAGGTAACTCTTAACATACCTAGAAAACAAAAGCACAAGTTCTCTATGGAGAAATTATCTATTTAGAGGAGAAAGGGGTGGGTGGTCTTACGGGTCAGATCGATTCCTCTTCTTGTCCACTGCTGCCAGATTCTGGCACTGAACAACAAAGATATGAAACTCCCGCAACTTGTGCACGTAGTTTAGTGAAAACTGGATGCTCCCTTGAACGTCAACGCTGCTGTAGTCACTACTGTACACGCTAGCAACACTGCCGCTAACCTGAAGGTAATGGAAATACAATATTGAATTATTACCAGTACATCAATGTGCTTAACATCAAATTAAATTGGACCCTATTTTATTTCTAAGTAAATGTTCTTTTTTTACTGTGATTTAATTCATCACTGTACATAACCAAAATTATGTTTATATTCATAATCAGGATAAAATAAAGCCCAACAATACTTTTGTTCTCATTGAATGTCCTGTTTTGGATTTGGATAATGTTGGATTATGTTGGATTATGTCCGATTACAGATGTAAACTTGGCTGTGAATGGTGCTTCATGATTTATCTGAGGCAAATGGGATATTTTTCTGGGTACATTTGCCTGTGTATATGGAGTATACTGCTGTGGAAAAAATTAAGAGACCTGCAAATTTTTCTTAAATCAGCTTCATGTATGGCAGCCATTCCAGTCCAGTATCTGTTGAATTCCAACACAGGAACACCTCATTCTACTGAATGAGGTGCTGATTAGGTGATCACCTGAACCAAATCTTATTTAAAGTGAAAAAGTATAAAAACCACTGCTGTGATCGTCACTATCCTCTTGCAATAGGGCCATCTGGGTGGCAAAAACAGTACTTGTAGTACCTCAAAAGGAAAATTTGGAATAAAAAAAACTCACTGTATTTATTTTCTGCAAATAAATGCTCTAAATGACAACATTTTTATTTGGAATTTGGGAGAAATGTTGTCAGTAGTTTATAGAATTCACAAAAATAAACCTATAAATAGTAAAACCAGAGAAATAAATAGTAAAACCAGAGAAACAGAAAACTTTGCCGTGGTCTCTTAATTTCTTTCCAGAGCTGTACTACTGGATATTATCTGATAGTATATGCTTGGTAAAGAACTTGGTAAATAGCTTAGCATATAATATAATATACAGTACATGAACATACAGAGGTGGAGCCAGAGTAGTTGCTGAGGTTAGTAAATTGTCTGTTATTCCACTGTGGGACGCTACTGCGGGAACTGCTCTCTGAGTCACTCTCTCCTCCATCACTCTAAAAAGACAGGACAGCGGCAGACATTTTCAGCACCACAGATTTTTTTGTGACCTGGCCTTTTATCTTAGATAAAAATTACAAATGAACCAACTTCTTTTTGTAGAAATGAGGGCACTGATTTGCTGAGTTTCTTCATGTGCTCTGGGTCTGAGGTCGCAAAGGAAGTCTGGGCAACTGAAACTTAAACAAGATGGCAGAAGAAATCAAATAAATGTGCAAATATGATGCCAACAAGATTAGTGTCTCACAATATAATTAAAACTGAATATAAAACATATGAGAAGTTAAGTTTGAGACTTGCCATCATAGTTGTCCTGCATATAGTCATTTGTTTGTTTGAATTTTTGGTCTTGTCCTTAGAGAAGAGATCACGACAAAGATGAACAGATTAAGAGTAGATTTGTTTCAAGCCAAACAATAAGGTGTTTTACTCTGGAAGATACACTATGAAGTATACTATGAAAGGGACAGCTAAATAAGGATCTGGTACTTTTAGTGGAAAAACTAATGACAAACAAATATATGCATTTAAAGTGTTTGACATAATAGAGAATTGATCCTCACTAGGATGAAGGCTGATGTCTTCCATGCTCTTATGGTACACAGGTCTAGATGAAGCTTGTCTCAAAGCTTTCAGAACGGGACTCTCATTTTCACCTGCAAGATTTAACAGTGTCAGTTTGATCCAATAAAGGTATAAAGAATTAATAGAACAAGCAAGAAGAATGTACATTGTATTTCAAGTATCTTTGGTTAAAAACGTTTGAGAAACCTGTACAGTGTGATAAGAGAAAAAGCTTAAAACTTACGGTTTGAATTCCCCTTAGTGGCATTTCCATCAGTTTGTGTGGTTGAGTGGAGTCCCAAGCTCCCTTTCCTGGTTTGGAAGTCGGGGGAACCCTGTACTGGAGTACTGGTTTTTACTGGGGAACACTTACAGCTGCAATTTGTCTCTGGAGATGATGTAAATGAAGTGCAGATAAAATTATCAACCTGCTCTGTAACTGGAGGTGGAGTGTATATACTTCTGTCTTCTGTAATTCCAAGGTAATGTTGGTAGTCCCGTGGAATGAAAGATCTAGCAAGAGGTTGAGAGTCGGAATCCTCTGAGGTACGTGATGGTCTTCTTTGAGTATTTTTGTCTCTGTCTCTCCAAGAGATTTCTGGGGATGTTTTTGGTATAGTATAGCTAGCTTCTTGTGTCTTCCTGGTCTGTGTAATGCTAGCTTCTGGTGTATTTTTGGCCTGTTGCATATTGGGACCCTGAGATTTCTTGGACTGAAGATGTAAGTCCTGGCTTTGCTCCTCAAATGCAGTGTTCACTGAAAACATGCTGGTGGCACGTCGCATGGCACTTGCTTTTCCATTTAGACTGCCTTTGTTGCTTCTTCTACCCTGCTGAGGTCGTGACTCCTGACCAGCCTGAGGTTTAGGTCCCATTGTGGCTTTTGAAGCATTCTGAGAGCCTTTCTGTGCATGAAGAGAATGAGACACTCCAAGGGATATTGCTTCGCCCCCATTTGACGGATCATTTTTTGATTCTTGTCTTGACATAATTCTCTTCTTTGAGGGAGACTGGAATGCTCTAGTTTTGGCTGGAGAGGATATTTTACCATTCTGGCTGTCATTAACAAAGTCTTTGACATTGGCTCTCTCTTTTGAACTTTGTGGACTTAAAGATCTCTGAATTCCACTTTCAAGGACCGGTGACCTTCGTCCTGATTTTGTAGGTGGTCCTCCCCAGAAGTCACGAAGGTTCATAAACTGTGAAGTGCTCATACCATCCATCACAACTGGCTTATCCTTCCGTAGAGGTTGCACAGGGAAATTAGGAGACAGTCTATCTCTGGCTGAAGAACTGTCCTCAACGTCATCATCATCATACTCTGTACCTATTGTTCTGAGATCAAACTCAGACTTTGTAAATCTTTGGTTCAATCGAGCTGTAGTAGTCGATCTGATTTGAGCTGCTGATGTTTTAGATTCTTTCTCCCAGAAGGACTTTAGTTGCTTGATTCTCTCTGCCATGTTCTCTTGCTGGTAATTCTGCTTAACAGAAGGCACTTGATTGGTTCTTGATGCAGTTTTTGATTTTGCCTCTAATTCCTTTGGAGAAGTGTGATCTGCATCACTACTATGTGTGCTAACTGTGCCTCCCATGCTATCACTATTTTGACCCAATAGCAAGGATCCACTGTCAAGTGATGGTGAAGATGACTTTAAACGTGGAAGAGAAACTACTTTGTCTAAGAGAGAGCTTGCAAGTATTTGGTCATTCTTCTGATTAGTATATATCAATTGCGCTTTTGATTCATCTGTAACGATGGGTACTTGGGGTTTATAGATGGTGTTAGCACTCCCTATATTCTCAAGGTCTAAATCTTCCACAACGGTCTCTTGTTTTTGATGTCCTGGCAATGTTGCTTTCAAGCTCTGTTCACTTCTCTGTTGGTCCTCTACACATTCAGTCGGCTTTCTGCTAACATCACTAGGGATTAATTGTTCAGTTATACCAGGAGCACTAGATTTGCTGATCAAAATCTTTGGACCAATGTTTTCTTTCTCCCAGAATGATTTCAAATTGGCAATTTTTGGTCGCTGGTTCTCTTCAGCACCTGGTCTTTCTTTTGGAAGATGCCGAGTATGCTTGATGTCAATGTTTTCCAGTTGAACTTTGGTCACTTCCTCTCTTTTGATAAAAGCTTCTGTTTTGTTCTCCTTTTGACTTACTTTCCCACCTACAGAAATATTCACTTCTGGGATCTTTGGAGGGACATTGTTTGCAGTAGGAGCAGAGTCAATAGAGAGATTCCCGATGAGAGGTTCTTTGTGAGACTCAAATCTTCGTTCTTTTGGAATGGTTTGGGTTGGCTCATCAACACTCTGTTCCTTACCCCAATCATTCTGTTGTAGAAACATCGTATTGACTTCTGATGGAATCTCCTCACTCTGGCATGGTATGATCAAGTACACATTATCCCTTGGTTTAGATCTCTGATCAACCTCATCTTCAAAGTCTATGTCATCGATCTTGGTGCCCTCCTCCATGTCCTCATGGACATTGCTCTCTACATCAAGCCTGTCACTGCTGTCTGAGCTTCTGCTAAACCACTCAAGAACTTTGGCAATGGAATCCCCTTGTTCATCAGTAGGTGTCGGAATGTGTTCATCTGTCATGACCTCCAGTTTGGCATTTTCCTGTTTTGAGTTACTAGTTTTTTGTTTTATGTTGAAGGCAAGGGGGTTGCTGCTAGTCTCACAGTCAGAAGAGACATCTGCCTTATTGAATGGATCTGTTATGTTGAGGGATCTGGGAAATTGTTGACCTGTAAGACAAACAGTATAGCATTGAATGACCGAAGTAGAATCTAGGCAAACTATTGTTTGCAATAATTTAATAAAAAATATAGATAATTTATTCTAAATTTAAGATTATTTCACCCAAATATGTATGTAATTTACTAACTTTTTTGCTATTTCAAGTCTTTATGTCTTTATTTCTTCTGCAGAACACAACAGCAGATACACATAGGTGAAAATGTAATGAATTGTTTATCAGGTGGGTGAATATTATAAATATTAGGTTGTTGTTCACCAAAACTGATCAGCACACTTGGAAAATGATTGTTATTTAGATGGTGTATTAAAATGATGTATATTTAGCTGACATACTTTGGTGATTTATTAAGCATTAAAGTGATAAAGCATTAAAGCAGTCCAAGTGTACTGCCATTCTACTGTATTTGAATTCACCCAGAATTCAACAAGATTTGATTTTCATTAATTGATCTCCTTTGTGTTCTGCAGAAGAAAGTAAGTCATACAGTTTGAAAACAGGATGGGTAAATTACACACTTCTCATTTTTTGGTAAACTACTCCTTTAAAAAAATTTGGATCATACCAACAGCAGTTTTCTTCATATTTTCTTCAGTTCTTATTGCTTCCAATTTTGGAAACTGAGCCACATGATTTTCCCCTTTCTCAGACTTGTGCTGTGTAGGTTGAGAGGTAGTGATCTCATCCGTTGGCTTTTTAGAGTTGTTAGTCAATGCAAACATTGCATTCTCACGGGGAAGATGCATTTCACCAGAAATGTTTTGGTCCTCCAATTCCACACTTATTGACTGAGGTAGGCAACTCTTTGTTTCTCTTCTTTGTTTTAGAGGTTCTTCTACTTTCTTGCCATCATCTGCTCTTGTGATAGAGGTCAGACTTAGACGTGGTTGTATCTTTGGCTTCTCTTGTAAGCCCCACGGAGGGTTTATTAGTTGCGATGAGGCTCTAACTGGTAAACGTGATTTCGGCAACTTCGTTGGTGAAGGGGAGCTAAATGGCTCTTTGTTTTTAATTTTGCTACTTGATTTCTCTGTACTTCCTGGAGAAAGTCTAGATTGTTCAGGATCCTTTCCTTGGCTGGTGTTTTTGCTAACTTGGCTTAGAGATACAACTGGTTGGCGCAGTTGGCTTTTGAGAGTTGGCTCATTTGAGCTGTGATTGGGGATAGTTCTTGGTGGTGGAGACCTGATACCTGAGCCTGCTGTGGTGGACACACTCTGCCTGGACATGCTCTGGGTGGACACAGAACTGGTGCTGTCTGAGATAGAGCCCTGGGGTTTGTTGATTTTGGTTCTCTTCTTTGGCACAGGCTTTTGAGCAGGAGGTCTGTTTTGTATAGTGTCAGAGACCTCGCTTTTAACTTCACTGTTACTTGCTTCCTGATGTTTTACTGCAAATGTGAGAGTTGTAAGCAAGGGAGAACACAAAACATTACAAGTTTCTTAAAACTTCTGAGTATAAATGAACATTATACAATCTTGTCACATCAACCTTGTGAATCAAAGCCCCTGTCTAATGATTTCCTGAGTCCAGGTCCTGATGTAAAGGGGATATCAGTCTCCTCAAAATCAAGCTCTATAGGAACACTGTTGAATGGGTTGTGTCTTGGCTGGAACCAGGTATAGAGGAGAAGTTTGTTAAAAGAGGCAATGAAGAAATGCATTGATTATTGAGGTCATATTGATTTATTTGTCATATAACATTAACTTTCACCCAAAAATCACACATTAGATTGACCTGGACTTAAAAGGGGTCATATCATACATTTTTGAGAAATAATTTGATTTCTTTATATTGTTAGTGAAAGTGCTAAAACTAGTTCCTTGAAAAAACATATTTTTTCCACCCTCTTGCTGATACATTGAATTAACCAGTTTTTTATATAGCTCTAAGCTTAACACCTTAAATCTATCATATTTCCTACTTGGTACCTCATATTGACCTGGCAGGCCAAGTTTCTGATTATAAATAGGAGTTTTTGTCTAAACGTGGTGGGCATATGTTAATGTATTTTGCTGTAAGTCATGGAAGTTCAGTACATTTTTAAATAACAAAGGTTCTTTATTAGCATTTATGGTTCCATGAAAAACATTCAACGTCCATGGACATTTTCCGCCATTTTTTATAATGGAAAAGCGTTCTTTAGAATATTAAAATGTTAGAATTTCAGAACTGTTCATTGAAGGGTTCTTTGGAGCCCTCCAAATGGTTCGTCTGAATCTTCCCTTTTGGAATCTTTATTTTTAAGAGCGTAGGAGCCAATTCCACCTAATTTTTAATAAATGGTCCATTTGGACTGGAGAGGATGTTTTGAAATTTTAATTCCATTATGATATGATCCCTTTAAGTGTTTCTCCCAAGGATATACAGTAATGGTGAAGACAGCTGACACTGATATGTATGTATATTTCAATGAGCACTTACATACCTTGGATGGTGATCTTATGCCTTTGTTTAGGTTTTCTTGCTGGACCTCAAATATGTCGCCGTTTTCCCTGATTTCAAAACAAATAGTAACCTGTTTATTGTTATGAGTACTTGCATGTAGAAGATATCCAGCTGATTTGGACTCAAGTTCTTTCAGACATCCTGTAATGACCAGGATCAATTAAGAGCATTAAAAGTACAGCGAGCAAACTCCTCTGTTGACCCTTGTCGAGTCATAAAGATATTGAAATCATGAGGTATCCACACCTGTAAAGCACACAAGCACCTGGGAGGGGTGGAGGTAGCACACACAGTGCAAACCAAAGGGTTCTGGTTAACACTTTTTACCCCGTTATTCTGGATAAATTGATTAATATCAAGCTACTAGATGAAATGGACCAAATGTGTCTACATGTAATGTAGGATTATGCCAGCATTACACTAAGCAGTTGATCAGGTAGTGTCAACTTCTTTGCTTTTGTACATGAACATTTAACATTACCTTTCCTTTAGCTGCTCTGAGGACTCAGTAGTTTGTGTTTTTTTGGGTGACGTCATGATGCCATCACTATCCTTTCTGCTGATGCTTCTTGATCTGCCACCCCATGGCTTGGTTAAATACTCTAAATAAAAGGATAGTGAGATGTTTACTGATATTTAGTGCTTTTTATAGGCTCGCTAACAAAGCATTAAGTCAAGGTTTCTGTTAGAGTTGCATGTGTGAACTGTAGATGTGTTGGTCTCACCAACAACTGATGGTTTTCTTTGATTCATTGATGCCAATATGATGTCAGAGCCATGAATCCTGTCCTGGTGTCTCTGTGACTTAACCTCGTAGAACCATTCTCCTGACAAATACTTGCGTCTGTCTTCCTCTGGGACGGCTTTCTGTAGTTGTCTGGAATCAAATGTAACAGTCTCACCTCAACATGTCTTTTGGACAAATACCGTACGTTCCATAGTCCGCAAATTAGATTCCTCCAGCAATCAAGGGAAGAAAGCACTGCAATAATCACATTTTCTGTTGTTTGCTCACAAAATGTTCAATTCTTTTTATGTAGAAATGTGTCCTTTCAGTACTAGAATCATAAACTGGGTTTTCCAAATGTCGGTACTTCATTGCACTTTATTACTTTACGTTACACAGCTTATAATGGTTGCTTCATAATGGTTGCTTCTTAGGTACTTTCAAAGTATCCAAGTAGCTGTACCTTGTTAAATTTATCAAACAAAATTTAAATATCTTTTTCTTTCTTTTTTTTTTTTTTTTTTTTAAAACAACCCAAGAAGTTGAAACTAATAACTATACTGTGACTTGTTTGAGAGCTGGTTACTCTTGTTAAATGGTACAAATACCTGCCATTACAAAACAACCTTAATAGAGACATTGTGAGCTTTTGCAGTGATACAAAATGGTTTGATTAAAATCATGTGTTTGGAAACAACCATTGGAACACATCTTCACTTTTGAAGGAGTGGAAACTATGTTGGTCATGTGAAAAGGCCAAGACAATTATTCCACAAGGGTAGACTTAATCCTTTTATACAAGGTTGAGTAAAGTTGAGGCTGAACACAGGGAAATCACCCAGACATGGCCAGATTCTGCATTCTTTCTTTCATGTAGACTTCTCGTCTCCATTCAAAGCGTTAAACATGAGAACAACTAATTTGCTAGTGCAGCGGCGTTCATGTGGGTAAACACCTCGCTGTTTGTCTATGGATTAATGCCTTGTTTGTTTTTTTCATGTTGTATTTTGATGGATTTCATTGAATATGTGCATTTGTTTGGTCAAATATACAATAAAATTTTAAATTTTAACTACAATTTATCAAATCATCAAATCACTCTAATATGCTGATTAAATGCTCAAGAAATATTAATTAAATTTTAAATTATCCATTAATATTTACTAAGAAACATGTATTAACTTGTTATTATTAGTGTTGAAAACAGTTGTGCTGATTAATGTTTGTTTTTGTAATCTAAAAAATTCTTCTCAATTCTTTGTTAAATAGAATTTTGCAGTTCATTTAAAATGAATTTTTCAGAGTAAACATATTTTAAGTGTTTTTAAAAGTAAACATATTCAGCATAATCTGTATGTGTGGTCATAAAATATAATTTATAATATTTAAACAAGATGGAAACATTAAATTAATTGGTTTCATATCATATCGTAGTAAACTGCTTTCACTGCTATATATTTTCAGATCAACTTCACATTTGCATTATGAGAGGAGGGTTATTTACCCTAATAAAGGTTTGTGTCTGAGCAGTCTTACTTTATTCGTTCCTCCTCGGCTTTCTTCAAGTCGGCATCCCTCTTTAAAACAGTCATGATCATCTCCTGCTCCTCCTCGCTCAGGTGGCTGAGGTCTATCATGATGGCCGTTGTTGTTCCTAATGTTTGAGACTCTTGCGCAAAGGTTCAGAAGACTATCTATTGTTGCTCCTGATTCACCTTCACTTCATTATGCGCATTTTCGGCACCTGTAATGAGCACATCAAAACCTCTGAGATGCTCCATTAGTCTCTTTCAGGTCAAATGGCTTCAAAAGTAAATGATTAGGGTAGTATTATGTCATTATCTAATGGAAAGGACAAATGTAACTTAATTTGTAAGCTAAATTTGCTGTAATTTAAAATAAAATGTGAGTTCTAAATAAGTGCACAATGAAGCCGAGTGTGGGCCTGTTTGGAGACTGCTGAGATTAGACAAAACATGTGACGGCACTGTCAGTTGACCATGAGAAGGGGCAGACTTTTAAAATCGACCATATGTTACACAACTTTCCGGAAAATTATTATGTATTCCGATGAGCATAAATTGCGTAACGCTGATCTCACTTAAGAGTCATGTCAGATAATGGCTCTAAATATGATATGATATGTACAGAAAAACAAGAAAACTCCTGGATCTATCCGTTTAAAAAACCTTTCATGATCATATGACCATCTATAAAACTTAAGACACCAGTGTGTCAAGTTAGCTGTGCAAATATTTGAAGACAGCTCACTGAGACACTATTTACTCTGGGTTACACCTTGATCAAAACAAGCTTCAAATAAATGACAATGGTAGACTAATACATAACATTATACAAATAACCAGTGAGCAATAACATTAATACTTTACATGGCTGGGGATCTTTAAAAAGTGTGAATAGGAATACATATTCTCTAATGATGAATAACTGTTTGGTACGATTATACAAAACAAAACCAGTATATCAACAACACATGCATAATGGATTTAACATTAACATGATTATTGATCTGCAATAATGCCATATCCTGAATCCTGTTACTGTCCAAAAAGCTTTTGACTCATCAAATGAGGCACTTTGTTGCAAATTGAATTAGGTTTAAATTGATTAAGTTATTAGCACGTATTTTATGAAATGCAATATATATTATGTAGCTATCTATCTTTAGTCAACAGGATAAGTAACAATAAAATAAAGTTGTTTTCTGGATATGTAAAATAATTTCACCACATGAAGCCCAGTGGAATTTTAGTAATTTATTAAATCTTCTGACTGTATAGACATGTAGACTAATTGCATTTTAGAAACAAGATCATGTGGTGTATTCCTGTCTGCAGTGATGCAATGCAATCACTGCTGTCTCGGGATTCATGTGCCCTTTTTTCTATTCTAGTTGTTTTCTGTTGAATTAGTAGTTTTATATTTAAACGTCATAAATGCATAACCTGTTGGATACAATAGTGAACTCAAGAGCCGACCAACCGGAGAATAGTAATCTCGTATTATTAATACAGTGTAAAGTCTGCTTTGTTTGAGTTTTGTCAGCCAATTAACTAATAGCTTTTACATAGTTTTTACTCGAGACCAAAAAAAACAACAACAGTGACAGCCTTCAAGAATGTATTCATGAAAGCACTAGATATTTACATTCGCAGATATATTTTACAGTGCTAATACACTATTCACAAACAGAACGACAGGTATATGTCCAAATGAAATGTTTCAGCTCACCTTGTTTCCGTGGCAGAATGTAGTACAGCAGAACACAACACATCTTCACTGAGAGCGACGCGTCTCTCAGGGTTGGACGGACTCTTGACGTCGGCTCCCAGGCGACCAATCAAAGACTGCGTTTATGCGGTCGACGCGACGCGCCAAGATAGAACGTTCCAATCGGGGAGGAACGATGTTAACGCATTAAAATAAGTTGTTGCAAAAAAAAAAATAATAATAATGTAAAAACCATGAACAGGATTCAGTCAGTCAGTATATTTGAACATGTATTGTCACACTGTAGTCAGTCCCTTGTTGCTTACCGTCTTGTTTTTACTGTTAAAGGAGTAGTTCACTTAAAAAAAAAAAAAAAAAAAAAAAAAACGTTTGCTGATAATTTACCCACCCCCATGTCATCCAAGATGTCCATGTCTTTCTATCTTCAGTCGAAAAGAAATAAGGTTTTTGATGAAAACCTTCCAGGATTTTCAGGACTTCATTGGGAACCAAAAGGTCCAAGGTCCAAATGACAGTTTCATTGCAGCTTCAAGGGGTTCAGACGGTGAAGAAGGGTCTCATCAAGCGAAACGATTGGTCATTTAAAAAGTAAATTAAAAAGTTCAAGTTTTATAATCACAATTGCTCACCTTGCTCTGTTCTGTGACGCATGTTCGTGACTCTCTTGTTCGAAACTTGTTCATCAAAATAAACAATCTTTTTTTTTTAAATTTTTTTTTTAAAAAATTTTAAATGACCGATCATTTTGCTATATAAGACCCTTATTCATCGTCTGGTGTCGTTTAAAGCCCTTTAAAAGCTGCAATGAAATTGTCATTTGGACCTTGAACCATTTGGTTCCCAATGAAGTCCATTGTATGGAGAAAATCCTGAAATGTTTTCATCAAAAACCTTAATTTGTTTTCGACTAAAGACAGAAATCAAAGGACATCTTTTTTTAAAGTGAACTACTCCTTTAATTAAACATCCATCCATTAAAAAAAATATAATGAAATTCTATTTCCTAACTAATCATTATATTATTTTTAATAGTAGGCGTAATAATAATATCATAATGTGGTAGAAATGACTAAGTGCACCTTGCATTTTATCTAAAAATATTGTCTATTGTTATACATTGATAATCTTTTGTAACATTGCACTTCCCAGGGAAATAATTATACAAATGCTGCCTTTTATTCCCTTAGTAAGTTTATACTAGAACAAGTTTAACCTGGTTTATGTTTAACAAGTAGGAGTGAGGTCTTGAAATGGGTAGATTTCACCCAGTGTAAAGAGGACAAGTGTAAAGTAAGCACAAACTCTCAAATCTATTGAATATTAATACTATTAAGCTTGGTATATTTGATTCTGCCTGAACCAGGCAACTATTTAGATTAATTGAATACAAATGAGCATTTACAGGTTCTGATCAGTAAATAAACTATGTTTGGCAGTATTTGTAAATCATAAAAACTAGTACATGATTAACCACTAGGCTACAATAGCTGAAAGAACTAATGCATGCCATGAAACAAATGTTCACAAGATTTGTGGAAGCTGCACTTTATTTGTAAAAGAAAGAGTACACTAATTGTTCTTACATCTTTTAAATACATAAAACAAAACGAAACAAAAAAAAAGATCCGTGAGGACAACACGTAAATTATTCAGTAAAACTTAGGTCAATTGCGATTTGATTGAATTGCTTTCATATTTCAAACCATCCTTACTAGCCAACCCCTGGACAATCTGCCTATGTGATATATGTGTATATATACATAAAAGCACCGATCAACAGTGCTCAAACTGTCTCCCAGTCAGCGATTCTCATATTTTACACTACAAATTTACAGTGATGTCAATGACCCTGTAGCTAGAGGAGCGTCCAGCTCTCGTATCTCAAGTGTTCCTGGACTTTTAGAGAGCAGGGTGCTTAACTTGACAAGAAGTCTGAAACATGAGGGCAACTCTTAACATTCAGATCAGGGGCAGCCATTTCTAACGGTCCGTGTGGAATGATGGCATGCCATGCATAATGCAGAACACCTCCCTTCCCAAGTGCAACACTTCACAGTCACGGAGGAAGTGCTTTTCTACTCCAACAAATATCTCATTGCAAAACCCCTAAGCACAGTATCGACTAAACAGTATAACAAACCATTCACTAATGATTACCCTCCCAATAGCCTTGGGCTGCAAACATTTCATCCACGGGAAGTTGTTCTAGACATAAAACTTAGAGAATAGTTAGTGCTCTATCATTTAGCTTACAGGTGTATTTTTCACATAATATCTATTTTAAAAAGTCTAAACCTTCATTATACAACCCAACACCCATGAGTAAGGTTGAATTATTATTTATATTTTTTTCCCAATGTACTTCGTAAACTCCTTTTTTAATTTTTTTTAGGCATTAATCATAAATAAATACAAACGACACGCAAGAAAGGTCTACTGGTGAATACAGTTAAAAGCAAAACTAAAAGATAAAATGTAAAACAAAGTTACTGTTACTATTTCATAACACGTACTATATCAGATGCTGAGTTATACTCCGATTTAGGTCGACATTTGCCACAAGACCTCTCATCAGAAGCTCCCGGTCGAAGGGGAAAAAAAACAATCTAACAGGAAAATCAAACTATAGCTTCTCAGAACACAAAATATCAAAGTCTCTCAATGCCCTTACCTACCTTAACAGATTATAAAATGTATGAGGAATCCCTTTATGGGCTGAACAGCAGCATCACTTGACATCTTAAACAAATTACGAAATGATTGCAGTATGCTCCCAGTCTTTCAACACACTTTGTTTACATCTTTGACGTCGAGTATGTTGTGGGATTGGTCCTCTGAAGAGCATCCCGCCACAGAGGACAGAGCTTAATGGTTTGACATCAGGGAGCAACTTCATTTTGTGTTACATAAACTGCATCTTGAAGAAGAAACAATTAAACATACAGTTAGAAAGGTGCTTTAAACAATGGTATGTCAAGTCAACAAGAAACTGGATGAATGAAACTGGTTATTTGATGGGAAAAAAGTGAGTGGTCTCTCTATCGCAGGTGGTTGGAAGAGAAAATTAAAAGGCCTTGGTCATGTTAACCAAAGGTTTTAGTGGTGTTGCTGGCTTTTTTAGTACTGACTAGTACCGAACAGTGTTGGGGAAAGTTACTTTTACTGTAAAAGTAATGCTTCACAATATTGTGTTACTCCCTAAAAATGTAACTTATTGCGTTTTTTTATTAAAAAAGAAAAAGCTCTATTTTTTGCAAATGTAAAAGCCCTTTCACACCAAAATGTAAATAGATAAGTCTCAGGGTTAAGAAAATGCTAATTCATGCCTGTCAGCAGAAATTTGATGCTTATTTAAAGTAGGGCTGTCAAACGATTAATCGCGATTAATTGCATCCAAAATAAAAGTTTGTGTTTACATAATATATGTGGGTGCACCGTGTATAATTATTTTGTATATATATGTAAATACACACACATGCATGTATATTTAAGAAAAAAATATTATTTATATATTAAAATACTGATATTTATATAAAATATAAATTATATATACATTTATATACAGTATATACATGAAAATATTTCTTAAATATATACAAGCATGTATGTGTATTTATATACATAAAATAATTATACACAGTGCACCCACATATATTATGTAAAAACAAACTTTTATTTTGGATGCGATTAATCGCGATTAATCGTTTGACAGCGCTAATTTAAAGTAATTTTTGCTTCTTAGTATGGTTGAATTGGATCATCAAAGGTCAGCAGCAAAGACATTGGTTAATAAAATGTATTTGTATTTTTTTAGGTTTGTATAATATTCTGAGTTTACATTTGATTTTTTATTCATTTTGAGGAATATCTGTTTTTGTACAGGTGAGATGAGTAAATGCTCAAATTAGTCTAGAATCACGTTTACTCAGCGCGCACAACGCATCTGCATCTCACTCCTGATTTCTCTCAATATGTCAGTCAATAAATGGGAAAACCAAATAAATTGCATTACTTATTTAAAAAAAATAACTCTGATATTTTGTTGCAAATTTAAAAGTAACTTGAAAAAGTAATCTTGATTACATTACACATTACTTGTAATGAGTAACCCCCAACACTTGTACTGAACATGCAATCTACATGTCCGTTCTACATCTAGCAAGAGGCACTAGATGAAACTGAACATGACTGCATGCAAGACCATCGGTGAGCACAAACGCATGCGGTACCTAGACAAAAGACGAAGCTCTACAAGAAATCCTTGAGAGAGAGCTGTGCAAAGGGGTCTTGTCCTGGGGCTCTGAGAGGACTCTGACTGGAAGGGCTAGAGGCAGCGGAGGGCTAATGCAGAGAGAACAACACAGAGAGAGAAAGGAAAGAGCTTGGAGTGACGGGGAAAAGCACATGTGGAGGAGGAGAGGAATGATCTGCAGTTTGGGAAGGAGTTCCCAGTCTCATGGCCCATTAATACACACCATGATAACGTAGAGTGTTAATAGAAAACTACATGAACACCTGGAGAGATCGTAGGGATTGTACCTGTGCGCTGGACACTGATCCGAACGGATTGGATGGCCTCATGACGGGCTGTGTGTACATCATTGTCGGCTGGGTCATCATGGTCATGGAGGGCAACTGTGGAGGCTAACAAAGATAACAACCATGAAGAATACATTTCCGACAACCTCAATTCAGGCAGCTGGTTTCACAGAAGTACTAACCATGCCATATCCCATCATTCCTGTAGGTGTTGTCGCAGGGAAAGCCATGATAGATGGCGGCTGTAAAACAGAGTAGGACTAATGAGAACAAGTTGTGATTCATTTCATTATGTTTGTTCAGTTTCAGAAACCTCAAGATCCCTTGTTTTAGCCAATTCCTAGAATGCACTTCAGTGAACCAAAGTAATAAATGGATGGCAAGGTAAGATAAAATTTGGTTATGATTTAACATACCATAGAGACAGGGTTCCATGTAGTAGATGGAGCATTCTTGGGTTGCCAGTTCATTCCACCAGTTAATTTTTTCTCTCCTGGTTGGTTCCAGTGGATATCACTGTGA